ATCCAGGGGGTAACCGTTGCTTATAAGTAAATTAATAATTATCTCTATGTTTTTATTAAAAAATTGTGGGTGTGATAATAGCAAACATCTATCTAATAAGTTATAAATTATTCCAATTTTGTGACATTGTGGATGATCAGAAAAAAATGATAGAGTTCTTCCTGAGAAGATTTCTTTTTGGTACCAATCTATACAGGGTGGGCCATTTTAAAAAATACGATCAATTTTCTCGTAAACTAAGCGAAATATCGAAAAATGGTTCAGACACATGTGTTGTATGGTTTCGAAGGGGCTATAAGATGGTGCCATTGGTTTGACCTTGGATATTTATTTGAAGATCACGCGAAGGTCACCTCAATTTTTTTAAATGGCACTCCCTATTTTTTATTACATATTCTTGTAGCTGACCTCGAGAGCTTTCCAAAACACTATAGTCAAATGTTTTCCCATTGCGTACTTTTCGAGTTATAAAGCTCGAAAGTTACTACATTTTGATAAAAATACAAGATATATATATATATATATATTTTTTTTTTTATTTCTTAAAATATTCATTTTCCGATAGTCTTATTTTACATGCTCCGACCAATCAGGGCAAAGTCCAAGCATGATCCAGCTAGTTGTGACGTCCCGCCATTGGTCGAAACCCAAAATTTTTTGCTTTTACATCATTTCTTGCGAGAACCTATATAATTAACTATTTTGAGAACGATTTAACTTAGAATTAGACGTCTTCACCATTTATCGTTAGTAATACCGGCATAGGGAATCTTCTAGTTGTAACTAGCAACGCGACCAATCATATGATTAATCATAATAATCTATTTTAGAATATAAGTATAAAAGAAAAGAGAAATTATATAATTTCTTTATAACGAATAAACTATAGGGAATAAAGATAAAAGGGAGAAATAAATAATGGTCGAGTACCTTATAATTTTTTTATTATTATTACCTTTTTCTCCCTCTCCTTCTCTACATTTCCCCCTTCAACTTACAACTAACTGAAATTTAGCATGGCTATTTTCCGGCGAGGCTCCGCACACCCGCGTGCGTGATGTCCGGTTTTATTGCAATTCCAGCATTTTATCATGCTGGCGTTATTTGCAGCCGGATGAACGGTATCCACGGAGACGGTATCAGAGACGGTAGCCGCCGCGGTAACTTGAGCTCCGATATTTGTAGCGGTATTCGCGGTTGTTTTCTTCGCGGCCCTTTTCTCCTTTCGAGTAGCGGTCGCGGCCGCAACGGTAATCGGGTCTCGGGCCTTCCCTTTTGGCGCGTGATACGCCAAATCCGGAAAAATGGACTGCTTGGGCGATAACGGGGGACGGTAATTTTTCTCTGCTAGAAAACTTCGTTCAACTCGCGTCGTCAAATACTCTAACGTCGAAAAATTTTCAAATTCCTGTCACCGGATCGTAATTTGCAATTTCGGTAACATATTTCGATGCGCGAAGTTAAATTGTTCCGCTAAGGGCCACTGAGGAGACATTCGACTCAACAATGCGCGCAAATAAGTCAAATAATCGGCCGCACTCTCGAATTCCCCCTGCGTTCTCCGGAAAATTTCATGGGGGGGAGAGCGTATTGATAATCGGGGTCTCCGAATCTCCCCCTCCAGGCAGTCTCAAAATCACGCCAATCCCTCCAATTATCTGCCTCTAATCGTACCCAATATAATGCGGTATCCAACAAAAATAACGGTAAGCATTTAAAAAGATCCGCGTCTGAAATCGGTACTATTGCGCGAGCCTCCTTTATTCGCAACAAAAAGGCCTCCGCGTCGCTACCTCGTTTCCCAGAGAAGTGTAGGTTCCATTTCCTAATTAAATTATATGCCTCCGCGGTGGAGGCTCGTCCGGGTCGCGGGTTATTCGCCTCCGGCGCGGGATTGCGGTACCTAACCTGCGGCCTGACCGATTTTCGCTCGACCGGCTCCACCTCATGTATCCCCTCGAACGATTCAAACAAGGGGGGTGTAGGGTCGTCTGCGGCCCCCTCCTCTAAGGGGTTCCTACCTAACAGAGTTTCTGACACCCCGCTGGGGGTCCCCTCCTTTGTCGCCATTTGCCCTCTCGCTATTTTCTCTTCGTATTGTAAAAGTCGCGCCCGTAACACAGATACAATTCCCTGTGTACTCAGGTTTTTATCCGCTAAATGGCGTCGCGCTTGAGTCTCCGTTAGACTTTGTATCCACTGGTGTGGATCAATGCCTGGCCTCATCGGTAACTTTACATCAAAACGGTAAGGTAATCGGAAAGTTCGAAGATAGTTGCGAGTAAACCGGAACGTCGCACGAAAGAAAAACTAAAATAAAAACTGTTAAGAGTGACTTGTTAATCTAGAAGAAAAATTATTAAACGCGATTATAATAAAAACCAGATAACTAATATCCCAATTAGGTTAAGAACAACTATTATTTGTGATATCTGAGACGAAAGATAATATTCAATGTAAAAAAGCACCGGCAAAAGACAAAAAGAAAAGAAAAAAGAAGAAAGAAAAAAAATTTTTTTAATTTAAATCCCCGAGCGGAGGTCGCGTATGTTGTAACAATAAAAGAGAGAAAAGGAACAGAAAAAGAAAAAAGTTTATGTGAAAGAAAGAAAGAAAAAAAAATTAAAGACAAAATAATATTATAATAAAATAATAAAAATAATAAAAAAAATTATACTTATTGTCAAACTAAAGTAAAGATTATAAGTGATCTGAAAGAAAGAAAAAAAAACCCCAAAAGAAATAATAATAATATCAGAAGCTAAAAGAAATTAAACACGCGTAAGTAAATATACAAAACAAAAAAATAATAATAAGTTCGATAAGAAGAAAAAAAAATAAAAACAAACAAAAAATATGTTCACTAAGAAGTTCCGGTAAGCTAGAATTTAGATAAAATAAAAAAAATTATAATAATAAGTCTCGGTATCAAAACAAGGAAAAATAATAACGTCCAGTCACGCCGTGAAGTTCAGAAAAGGATAAAAAATAATAATAACTTTAACAATATTTGATAAAATAAATAGAAAGACGAAAGGAAAAGAAAGAAAAAAAATACTAACAATAAGTGAGGTTAAATCTCAACGGTTAACTCACGATATCAAGAAAAGAAGAAAACAAGAAAATAATAACACGACTGATATTCCGATAATGTAAAAAGAAAGGACGAGAAAAAAAAATAATAATCTTCAATGCAAAACAAACGACTAAATTAAAAACGCATATATACAATTTGTATGTAAATATCATTTAAATTTATATATATATATATATATATATATATATATATACATATATATATATATATATATTATATAACATACTAACAATAAGATATAGATCAAAATGTCTTATATTGTAGAAATTATTTTATTTTCAATATGCAAAGCAATTTGTCTTTTTTTATTTTATTTATTAGGCGCCAAGAAGGCGTTAAAGTTTATTTTGTTTATTTAAAATAATCACTTAAGAAACGAGTTTAAATAATCTTTCGTTAGATAATAAAAAATATTTAAAAAACTAGTTAACCTAACGTATATATATATAATGGTATCTTAATAGAAACTTTAAAATTTCTAAAATTAATAAGCGAAATAAAATAATGAAAGTAAAGTAGTACAACAATTTTATTTAGTCTCATTTTTATAAAAATTTATACAGTGTATTATTCTTAATAAAATTTAGAATTTTTCAAGAAATATTTCTTGCTCTAACCTTTGGTAAATTTTAAGATATTAAAATAATTTTTTTATATAAATAGATTAGCATTAAAAGATGGTTGATATTAAATTTGACGAGAATTAATAAAAGGATTCATTTTTTTATTAATTTTAGAAATTTTAAAGTTCCGATTTAGATATCATTACATTATTAAGTTAACATGTCCTTTAAAATATTTTTATTATTTAACGGAAAATTAGCAACTGGAGACGCTTGTACCAGCCCGCACGCGAGTTCACGACTTTGCCGCTACGCGTCGTCGCTCTCTCGAAAGTAAAATCCCCCCGGGTTAGGATATAAGACCGAGAGCAGCAAACCGAAAACATATACTTGTTTTCGATTTATTTTTGGCGTAGTAGTTGATTTCTACTTTTATTTGTTACGTTTATATCACGAATATGACATAATCTTTTAAATTTAATTCTGTTTGATTTTTAAATATTGAAATACTTTGTAGGCTTTCTACATCGTTCTCGAAATCTTCATTATTTTATATATTATTATCCTCGAGATTGTGTAGTTTTTCTTTTTCTTTAATTTCTCTTCGTCAGATAAATATCGAGTACTAATCCTTTCAAAACTTTCATTTATTATTTCTTTATTTATATTAGGGATGGGCGATACAGTCCGAAGTATCGATATATTATATCGATACGTATTGTTAACCATATTATCGATACATCTTAAATATCGACTAAATTGATATCGATATTACCAATATCGATACAAAATATCGTGTTTTGTAAAATCCGCGGTATTTTACCTGATAAATACCATATTTTCTTTTTTTAAAACTTATCTAAATAGAATTAAGAATCATTCTAGTGGTTTCTACATCCAAAAAACTTGCTTAATAAATATATACTCGGTGTATAAGTTTGAAAAAGAGAAAAAAGGGGTAAAATAAAAAGATATAAGCTATAAACTTTTTTTATTGAATAAATGTATTAATGAATATATATTTTATTACATATATAATAAATATATAACATTTTATAGAATAGATATGTTAATGTTATATGAATATATTACTTAGGAGAGAATATATTAGAGATATTTCACTTTATAAGAACATTTTATAAATGCCAATCTTCAATTGACAACGAATTTAAGAATAACAATTGTTGCAAATGTTGCTCCGTTAACCGATTTCGTAAATCATTAATAATATTTCCCGCTCGAGAGAACAAACGTTCGGACGGAACAGACGTTGCTATAACTGTTAAATAACGCTTAGCCAGTTTCGCTAATAAAGAATATGTCGAATAATTTTGCCAATATTTTAACGGACATTCAGCGATATCAATGGGTATCTGATTAAGATAATATTTAAACTCATCAGGCATTTCATTGTTTGTATTAGAAGAAACATATTGTTTCGTTTCTTTTATTAATGTTTCATGATAAGCCCAAAAAGAATTGTTTTGATATACAGAATCAGAATGAAAATTATTTTCCTTCTCTTTGTGTGCATTATTTTTAGTAGCAATATTTAACATATCTGTTATTTTATTTATTGCATGACAGCATGCAATTCTATCTACAAAATGATTTTTTTGAATCTAGGGTCTAGAATAGTAGCAATCGCAATGAGAGATTTATGTTCAATATTTTTAAATCGTGCTTTAAATTCTTGTATCAAAACTTTTTTTATATAACACCCTACTTCACTAATAGGTTTGCATGATTCTAACTGATTTGCTAATGTGTGTATTATCGGTATAACTTGACTGCCAGTAACATACATTTCACCAGAAAATATAGTTGTTGCTGTTTTAAATGGTTCCAACAATTGCATAAATTCTTTTATAGTTTGCAATTCTAATGCCGATAACATTGGTGGAGCTGTAGGATGTTGTAAAAGAATCAATCCAATTTTGTCGGATAATTGGATGAATCGATGAAGCATATCAAACGTGGAATTCCACCGCGTGTCAACGCTTTGAATTAATGTTAGATTGGAATGTTCTCGCAATAAATCTGAAAGAACTACACTTTTTTTAAAGAAAGTTACAATAGATTTGACTTTTTTACATAATGAACTTACAATTTCATCTTCTTCTATAATTTTAGCAAGAACCAAATTCAATGTATGCGCATAACAAGCTAAATATTTTTCTTCACCAAAACCTTCTATTATAGCTTTTTTTATGTTGGACGCATTATCAGAAACAACAACAACTATACGTTGCAATGAAATACTCCATTTCTCAACTATATCGAGCAACCACTCTTTTATATTATCAGATGTGTGCCTATCATTTAATTTAGTGACTCCTATCATAACAGTTTTTTTATTATTATTTATGTGATAGTGTGCGGTTACTCCGAGGTAACTTTTTGTATTTACATCAGTCCAAATGTCTGTCGTAAGCGCTATGTCCTCTACATTAGATAATTGCTCTTTTATTAAATTTGATAAATAAACATATTTTTCTTCAATTAGAGACGTTATCACTTTTCTACTTGGAATGGTGTATAAGGGACTCACACATTTTATAAAAATCTGAAAGCCTTCTTTCTCCACTGTAGACAAAGGCATATTGTCCTTTGCTATCATAAATACGAGTTTATTTGTGATTTCCGATGCTTTAGATCCTCCATCTAAAAAAAATGAAAATTAAATTACCACATTTCCTTATCTGAAAAATACTTTCTTTATATTCTAATAAAAATGTATTTTGTATACATATATTAAATATTTATTAAATGTCTTAAATATCTGTATTAAATATCTATTAAATATCTATATACGTTAAAAGATTATTTATTTAATTTAAATTTCAAATATTTGAATAGTATTTAAAATTAATAGATACAAAATTTGGTATGTTAAAAAAACAAATTCTAGCAGAATCAATAACAAATATAATTGATTTAAAATGCAAAACACAATATAATTTTATAAGTGATATTTTTTTTCTCTATTTCTTTTTCTACTAGATATAAAATGCTAAAGTTTATATACCTTGGAATGACTTTTGTTTTGAAAAGGCGTCTATAAGTTTCGGTTGTTTTCTCTTGTATTTTAGTGTATTTCTAAATGTAGATGATGAACTTGTTGACGGAGACAACGTTAATTCTTCATCGTTGTCTTCTTCATACAATGCAATATCTTCACCTTCACTTGACTATTAATAAAAAAATTTTGTATTATAAAATTATTTTTCAAATTGTATATATCAAATTACATTATACATATATAAGAAAATATTTTTAATTTACTATAGTTATATTAGTTTTTTCTGTTCTCAATCTGTATAAATTGTCTTAACATATATTTAACATATTATATAAAGATATAGAAATATTACTATTTCTTTCCGTTTTTGTGACTCATCAGAAGCGCTTGTCATTTTGATATTACAAAGGTCCGGATGCTTTCGTTTTAAATGAAATCGCAAATTGGTTGTGTTTCCGCTGGTTTTTATAAATTGTTGGCACACATTGCATTTTGCGCCTCCCAAACTTTTTATAAAGTGTTTCCAAAAAGTACTCTTTGGCGGCACTAAATATGAAATATAATAATTAATAAAATAAAACAAAATAATACAGTATTATAATATGTTAAAAAGCAATTATTAAAATTATTCTAAAAAATCCAAGGAAAAAGTTGCATTATAAGAAATTTAAGGAACAATGGAATTGTATGCATACTTTTTTATAGTTAAAAGAGATAGAAGAAATGTAAAGTAAGGATATATTCTGACGAAAATTAGGACTTCACTTCACACCAAACCAACCAATACTGAAAAAGTAAAACGAACACATTAATCACATGCAAATAATTATTTTTTGATTAATAGCTATACACAAGCAAAGAACAGTTAAATGCAAAATAATAAAAATTGTTAGTTTCTAAAATTTGCTTCTTTTTAAGAAAAATTGTAAAAAGAGACGAAGACATGCTATTTGTCAGATAAAACTTACCCAAAAGTTAGAAGTGTTGAAACAACCGGCTCTTTGTCTTTGTCCAAAGGAGGTTATAAAAATAAACGCAGTAATATTAATCGTTAATGTTAACTGTAGGCACTAGATGGCCTTAGGGCCACATCCACCATTTTGTCACTATAATGCCGACGCTCGAGGCGCATGCGCCATGTATATAAAATAAAAAATTTGTCTTTGTAATAAAAGGCGTATCGAAAACCGATATAAGCAAATCTCGTATCGATATACCAAAATATCGGTACTTGAATTATCGATGTTTTATATCGATATTTTAATTCATTAATATCGATATTTACAAATATCGATACAATATCGCCCATCCCTAATTTATATGCATTCCTAATTATATTGCAATATTTATTGCCGGAGGCGTTAATACAGTCTTAGGCGCGCCCCTATACTGGAATTTGATCGTGTCTGTTTTCCCTTTGAAAAAAGGAAAATCTCTGTGTAAATAGTGGTTTTTTTTTAATTTTTTTTTGTTATATTCTATTTTTAGCTATATTCTATATTGGTTATACTCTATAGTTATATTTTCTTTTGTGTAACGATCATCGGTCATAATATATAAATTAAAGTTAATTATACAAATACGTTAGTTAGAACTGATAAAGTTCGCCGATTTTGCTCCGAAATACTTTATATAAAACATGTTTACACGTAAAATAATTTTAAAATTATAAATCTGTAAAATTCATTTAAATATAAATAGGTAAGATTAAATTACGGCTCTGTAACATATTAAATATAAATCTAAATCGCATGAAAGGCGTAAAGAGCCATACGGGGATGTTGCTGCGTACATTTCCAACGAAACTAAGTTTTCGTTGTGGAAATAAACCGTGCACAAGGCACGTATTCTCGGTGTACTACCAAGACTTAAAATTTGAAATAATCTCATACTTGAGATTTAATTTCAAAAACCTCCTAACCCCCCTACGGAAATAAAGTATGAGATTATTTCAAATTTTAAGTCTTGGTAATACACCGAGAATAATACGTGCCTTGTGCACGGTTTATTTCCAACGAAAACTTAGTTTGTTGGAAATGTACGCAGCAACATCCGCGTATGGCTCTTTACGCCTTTTTTGCGATTTAGATTTATATTTTATATTAATAGGCTTTATAAGACTATAGACAGGTCGGAAAATTATTTACAGTTTTAAAGACAATAAACTATATATTATTTTATGTTCGTAACGATCATCGTGAAAATAACTTTCTTACGAAGAAAAGCGAGAATCGAGGGCGAAAGAACGTCAGTAAGAGAGGATCCAAATTCAAACAATGTTATCCACCAATATCTACTGTATTTCGGCTCCGTGTCTGTTTCCCCTTTGAAAAAAGGAAGGTCTTTGTATAGACAATAGTTATTTTTTTATTTTTTTTGTTATTTTTTATTCTGATTATATTCTATATTAGTTATATTCTATTTTGTGTTCGTAATGATCATCGGTGACAATACTAGTGTCAATGTTCATCGCTTAAAATTGTGTTACACGCAGGCTGAAACAGGAGTTTTGTTCATTCCTTTTTATATATTAATTATTATTTCAGATCATACATATTATATTATATTATATATTATATTCATCCAATATTGACATAGTTTGCGATGGATTTTATCAAATATAAGCGCCGATTGATAATAATATACTTCCAAATAGATTTTGTGTCTAATGCAAAACACCAATTCAAAATCATGAAGATCATGCCTCCTATTTCTTCATTATAATCTACAACACCCGTTAATATGTAGGATATTTTGCCTTATCGTTATGGTTCTTGCAATAGAGCCGAACGTGTAGACAATGTTTATATTTCTATTTTTTGGTTATATTCTATATTAGTTTACTCTATTTTGTGTTCGTAACGATCATCGACCACAATACTGGTGTCAATGATCACCGCTTAAAATTGTGTTACACGCAGGCTGAAAAAGGATTTTTGTCCATTTTTTTTATATATTATTTCGGATCATATATAGTTCGAATATCTAACAACAAGTTATGGTTCAGATATTGTAAATCAATTTTCTTATATTGCTTTCATTTTTACTGTTTATATAATGACCTTATCTGTAATTTATATTTTGATTTTATTACTTATTGCTTTGCTTTCTGAATTATTTTATTTATCCAATATTGACATAGTTTGCAATGGATTCCATCAAATACAAGCGACGGTTGATAATAATTTACTTCCAAGTAGATCTTATTTCTAATGCAAAAAACCAATACAAAATCATGAAGATCACGACTCCTATTTTTTCATTATAATTTACAACACCCGTTAATGTGTAGAATTTTTGCTTTATTGTTATGGTTCTTGCAATAAAGCCGAACGTGTAGACAATGTTTATATTTCTATTTTTTGGTTATATTCTATATTGGTTATATCCTATATAGTTATATATTCTTTTTTGTGTAACGATCATCGGTCATAATACACAAATTAAAGTTAATTATATAAATACAAATATAATTATTTTTAAGAGAAAACATGTAGTTATATAGTACTAGTTGAAAATTATATAGTGTTTCCGATACTTCCTACACAACACAAGTATATTCTGAGAATGTTCTGAGAATTTCAGAAAAGTATATTACGTATATTCTGAGAACGTTCGATATACGTACTGCGATATCCTGAGTACTAAGAATACGTCTATGTCCAAGTTTTCTGCTTCTCAGTACACACTGACAATATCTTTTCGTATATACTCAGTATATTTATAAAATATCTTGAGTATGTTATTAGTTTATATATATAAGATACTGATAACATACTCAAGACATTCTATGGATATACTTATATTCTCGAAATTATATACTGTGAATTATATCGATGTTACCGTAAACACTCTATTTCTATTTTTTCGCATTATTTATGAGTAAAAATTCAAATTTGAATTTTTGCTAATATAGCCTGTGGTCGAGTAGCACGCTTTGAATGCTGTGAACATCTTTTTTATTATACAGGTATATAGTTGAATATAGAACAAAGAATGATGTTCAGAGCATCCAAAGCATATGTTACTCGACCGCGCCTTCATACATACGAAAAAACGAATTTTGAGTGTTTATAGTAACATTAATATTAGGTATATTATATATTTTTAACACATTTTTATTTATATTATAAAAACTATATTTCAATTAAATATTTACATTTAAGTATAATATTGTATCTTCTTATATGTATAGGGTCAAGGTGCCGATTATGAGATACCATTTACATTTTTTAATTATTTCCAAAATATATGCAATTAGGAAAGTATCTATATACTGTTTTAATCATCAATCGTAAATCAAACGAAAAACTATCCTTAGAATAGAAAAATAAAATAAAAACAAAACCAAAAATATTTTAATCGTCAATTGTAAATCAAACGAAAAACTATCCTTAGAATAGAAAAATAAAATAAAAAACAAAACCATAAATATTTTAATCGTCAATCGTAAATCAAACAAAAAACTATCCTTAGAATAAAAAAATAAAACAAAAAACAAAACCAAAAATATTTTAATTTTTAAAATACCCCATCTGCTTGGATCGGACAGCATCAATAGCCTTTATTGTCTTCCCACAGACGCTGTATCTAAAAATTAAGTCTGTTCACTTTTCTGTCTGCTCATCTGAGCTGATCGCTTTTGCATTTGCTCTCTTGCATGAGCTAATCATATTTTTATTGGTGCCGAAATTTCCTGATCCGTTGCATTTGTATGCAATCTTCTTACTGTAGCTGAAAAATTTGTTAAGTTATTAGTTATTAATTTATTAGTTTTTAGTTATTAAGAAATAAAACAAGTTCTTTAATTGTAATTTAATTTAAATTAAAAAATATATATCTTTGATTTTGAAAATACATATATATATGTTGAAATAATTGGTTAGAAATATAAAAACACATACGAAACATTTATAAATAATTTAATAAAAAAATATATATTTCTAAACATGTTTTTTAATTTAATCAATTATAGCATGTATAATAAAAAATATAAATTGTTGAATTTATTTTACTTACACATAATAACTTGACATATATGTAATTTGAAAAAGTTTTCTTTCTTCTTTGCTCCATACCAGCTGTAATTAACAGCTAATTCATTAGTAAAAATTTTTCGCATTAAACGAATACATGAACTTCTCAAATCTGTACTAATTACGTAGGCTAAGTGTTTAATCTGAAATATTATTACAAAAGATAAAAGTTATAACTTTATATAATAAAATTATATTTATGTAAAAATATTGACATATATGGCTTTAAAATATATTCTAAAAAATTATTTGGAAGCTCAATATAAAATTAAATTATTCAAATATCTTTAAATAAATTTATATATTTTTAAAAACTTGTTTATTAGTATAGGGGGCTTATTATGTATTTCTAAAGGAGTGAAAATGCGAAAAGTGAGCAGCTCTTGTGATCACTGATTGGTAGATCTAAAAGTGTACACCAATTAGTGATCGAGGAAAAGTTAACTTTTCGCATTTTCACTCCTTTAGAGATACATAATAGACCCCCAGAGTATTATATATAGAGTATTTCTTTAAATAAAAGTATTAAATATTCTTACAAGGTTTTATATTCAAAATTTTTTTATTCGTCATATTTTTTGCTAGATCTCTAAATTGTTTTTGTTTTTTTTTAAAGTCGTGTTACCATTAAAATAGATATTTAACTTACCATTTCATTTCGATAAAGTACATCAGTACTTATTTTAATTTCCAATACATTTAAACTATTTTCATTTTTTAGTGGTACGTCTTTATTTATGCCATTTAATTCTTTCTGCTCAGTTTCAAAATTTTCCGTTGAAAGTTTCCGAAGTATTAATTTTTTATTTCTTTCCATACTGTTCAATTTTAGTTCAAAATGAATTAGTTTTCCAATGACAAATCGTTTAAAATTTTTTTCTTCGTAATTATCATCACACAAATTGTTATCGCAATAATGCATATCTAAAAATAATGAAATAATTTTATCATGTTATTTCAATATATCGTTGATATAACAAAATGTTAAGCAAAATATTTATGTAAAACTACTAACATATATCACTTTAAAATATATTGTAAACACAATAATATTTAGCAGCTTAATATAAAATTAAAATTAATCAAATATCTTTTAATAAAACTATATATTTTTAAAATATTGTTTAGTATAGAGGATTATATATAAGGTGTCCTGTAATTGGTAAAAATCTGCTAATGGCAGATTCGTGAGATCATTTTGAGACGATTGTTCTTCAGCGAAAATGTCAAGAGACGTCATCATTTTTTTGCAAACTTGCAATATTTATTATTATATATCTTTGTAACTAAGTCTCAAATTAAAATTTTATTAAAGTAAACTCCACTTAAAATTAACTGAAGAATGTAATTATGTAAGGCCCGATTACACCAACGTTATTTTCATTTTAAGCGAGACTTACATATGTATCTGTCTTTATTTAATTAGAAAGAAGGATAAAGATAGACACTTATTTAAGTTTTACTTAAATCCAAAATAACGTTGGTGCAACTGGGCCTTTTAACTCCACAAAGTTTAGTTTACAAAAATCATTTTTATCAATCACATAACTCGAAAATTATTGATTTCTCAACATTTGCACTAAGGAAAAATCATCTCCAAATTAGCCAGAGAATACGCTCACGAGAGATTTTTTACGAGTTACCGGGCACCTTGTATAGTATTTCTTCAAATAAAAATATTAATATTGCAAACTATTTACAAAATTTTGAAGAAATAATATAAACATTCTAGAATATATAAAAAAAAATTATATAATCATTATAAGTAGAATACCTTGCTTATTAATGACTAAATTTGTCTTGCGTCCTATCACGTCTACATTTATATCATTATTATTATTGTCATCTTTACCATCAACGTACGATTGTTGTTCGGAATTTGCATGGGATACATTTTTATCACACTGCACGACTAAAAATAATAAAATGTTTTTACTATATTATTTTAAAATAACTTCAATATTTAAAATATGTTAGGTAAAATTTTGAAGAATGTTATAATTGTAAAATATATAAAAAATTATATAATTGTGTAAAACAAATATAATTATACGTACCTTGCTTATTAATATATTTGTTTACTACGTTCGGATTTATATCTTTGCTATCTATGAATGATTTTGTTTTTTGAATTTGCATCAGACAAATTCTTATCGCAATGCGAAAGATCTAAAAATTATAAAATGATTTTGTCATTATATTTTTCCCAGATAATAACTACTGTAATATTAAAACATGTTAGGCAAAATTGTTTAAGAATAAATGTTATAATCCTAAAATATGTAAAAAAAATATGCAATGTTAAATAGTTAAAATTATGCACCTTGCTGATTAAACGACTCACTCTGAGTTCCCATCACATTATTTATATCATCACTATTAATGGAAGCATCAGACTTATCACAATGCGGATCTACAATCAATAGTGTTTTATTATGCTATTTCAATATAATTTAATAAATTTAGAAAAACCTTATTTACCAGAATGTTCTATTTTTTTGGTTATGCATGATTTCTTAATATTAGGGGTTTTTGTCTTGGAATAGTTAAAATCTGAAATCCATAAATTGTCTTATTATTCATGTTCTATCTTGTTTTTTATCTGTTATTTTTATTTTCATTTTCATTTTTCCGTGCTTACCCTTTTGTACATCTGTCACTTTTATTCTTTTGATAGGTTTTTCTTGTGTTGTACAAGTTTTTTGTGAAAACGTAGGAATATCTGACATTGTGTCGTCTGATTCATCTAAATCGTCGTTACTCGTTGAATAGTATACTTTTGCAGCTCTATGTTTTCTCGATTTTTTAAGTTTTTCTTTTATATCAGCGCTAGAGTTATTAATATCAGATACCTCTTCGGCTTCTTTTAATTTTATTCTTGCCACTGCATAGTCGTCTGAAAAAATATGTATTATTGTAATAAATATTTAATAAATAATAATTTAACATATATATATATATTTTATTAAACAATATTTTTTTGTATTATTAAACGATATCAACATATATGTACATGCTGCATTTTCCACAAAAGAATATAAAATTGCTTACTAAATGTTCCATATATTTTTTTAACAGGATGTTGCCTCCAAGTTTCATGATCGGGATCCTCCATATGTTTAACTGCCTTCTCATACCGCTTGTTGCTGGTGAAGTTTGACCAAAATGATGTTGATTTTTCGTCAATTCTTAACCAATTATTTGGTACAATTTGAAGACCGTCCTCGAATTCGACGATCGCATAAAATTTATTATTCATTCTGTGTGATAATAAATATCATTGAATATTTATATTTCATGTAAGAATGAGAAGATTGCATATCTATTATTTTCACATGGCAATTTAACATATTTTTTTATTATGTTTTTCAATGGCCATGACTTCAAATTTGAGCACCATTTTACAGAATAAATCTGAAGTAACGAAGATGAACAAGGAGTATCAAATAGATTTTCTTTTTCCAAAAGTTTGTATCCGATAATAACAGGGATATTTCGTCTTGTGCAATGTGCTATGTTTTCAATACATACAATAACATCACAGTTTAAACCACAACAGCTGTCTGCAAGTGTCCCAACTTTAAATGTAAGTCCGTTGTACTTGAGTATTTTATATTGTGGATTGCTGCAGTTAGGTATAAGGACCATCTTCATATAATGAGTGTAATGACATTACATTTGGATGTGTCAGAACAAACGAATCATGTGATGTAGTTAAATTAATTTCTTGTTCTGTACATCTTCGTACAACTTGTTCCAAAGGTTTTTCCGCTTTTCTGAGATATTTTTTATACACTTGCATGTGGTTTTCAAATTTGAATGCACTAAAATTATCGAGTGGTCCAAATTTTTTTACATCGTCTACAAGATGTATAAGACTGTATATATTATGCGACACGTGTTGCGCTCCATAAAGTTTAATAAAAGTTTTAATAAAAAAACGAATCATGTCTTGTGTATAAGATAAATAATGTTCATCATTCACATAATCCTTTGAACACAAGATTCTAATAATTACATGTAGTGTCATATAATGAATGTACACACTTTTTTGTAATACAGATTTAAAGACTAACGGACCCGTATACAGCAGTATTAATCTAAATTCCGTAGCTTTCCATAATTTTACACAGTCCAGTTTTCGCGGCTTTCTTGCAAATTCTCTAGGTATCGATGACTTTAGTTGAATTTGACATGTAGATATTTCTTCAACGGCTCTATGTGGTAGTCGATATTGGAGTTCTCCACCCAGCCATAAATATATTAACTTCCGCATTATTCCCAAACACACTAGATGCATATAATCTAACGGAACGTTTGTAACAGGTTTGAAGTGAGGTATTTTTAGTTTAAATCACATGTTATATTTGGCTTATGATAGCTGTCATCGATTTTTTTAGTGAAATCATCATCTGATCTACATGGTGCATCAATCTGTGGGAAGCACATACGATTTCCTATGTATTCACCTTCTGTTGTACACTTAGTACAACTAGAATACCCGGTATGTCCTTTTACGCACAATACAAATGCTTTTGCAGGTGTATCACATATCAAAGCTTCTATTCTGCATTGTAAATTACGTCCATTGACATAAATTCCATTTTCGCCCATTTCTATAGCCTCGTCCAAAAAATTTTTTAAAAAGTCATTAACATCTGCTGGTTTTTCCGTTTCATGATAAATTCCGATTGTGAATACATTATTATATGAAAGATGTTACGTTTTCGTTCGTCCGTTTTTGGGTCAGTATATTTAAATACTTTACCCGGGAGTTGGACGGGTTGTGTGTACTTAGTTTTCAGTCCCGAACAGGAATCTTAGTTTATAAACTTTATAACGCGGATCAGTTTTGTTAATGCGGCGATAGTCGGGATAGTCAGGCTCGACGTTAATAGGAGTTAGTTGGTAAGGAATAGTAGGAGGTTTCTCGATTTGGGTGTTTGCTTCTAAATCTTGGAGTTTTTGCGAGAGGTGAAAGAAATCTTGTTGCAAATCAATCGCTTGTTTTATCTGGTATCTGAGCCGTTTGAGCTGTACCCGTTTACCTGCCCTTTTCTTCATGAGAATGTTAAATACGACGGAAGCTCCCAAAATGAACTTAGGTCGCTACGCAAGGCAGCGACCAGTCCGATTCGCTACGCTCTTCGGCGGCGAAAGGGGTAAGCTCGATTTGAGAGTAATGGTAAATAATTTCATACACCAAGAGCAGTGTTCGTAGGCGCTACACTCTTCGGCAGCGCCGGTTACCAATTCGCTACACTCTTTGTCAGCGAAAAGGCCGTTCCCCGCTCTCGGAGATGTCCTACGTTATATGTAAATTTTAATCGAAACTCGGATCAGATGCCAAATAACTGAGCTTATTGTGGTATTATCAATTACCTTTTATTCTATGAGTGGTTACAAAATTATAAGTCTAAAGTACTGGATTAGTCGTAACGTAAGAATAAGGAAACGAAGGATGACAGTCGAAGTTTGCGGAGAACTATAGTTACGACAAAGGTTTCGTTAAGATTTCAACTGCGATGCACAGCGTTTTTCTAGCCCTATTTATACTCGAAATTTTACCACCTCCATCTATGAATTTTGAAGGAGGGAGGCCCTTATCTCGGTTTGTTTATAAGGTTTATAAACAACCCTGGCGATCCTGCATATCGGATGTTAGTTTAGGATAGGTCCAGCTGAGAGCGATGAAAATTTGTCAATACGTGACAATAAGCAAATTCTAGCGATCCCGCGTATCGGATGTTAGTTTGAGTTAAGATAAATCTAACCGAGAGCGATGAAAATTTGTCGGTACGTGACAAAGAATTGAACCAAGTATGGGCCAAAATTGTTGTTGCGATGATCGTGAAAGTGGTAATCCATCGATATTAGTAGCAATTTTTACACTGTCAATATTGCTCTTTATAGAAGTTAATAAATTTAATACAGATTTTTGCAATCCAAAATGATAGTACGTTCCTGGCAGTACTACACGCATTTCGTTTTTTCTTGGAGTTTGTAAAAGTGAACGTGGATCCAAAGATAAAGATGAAAAACACGAATGATTTCTCAGTCTATGAAGCAGTGCTCTTAGAGCTGTATGTGAAATTTGGTGTTGTACAGCCCAAATAGCAAGATCAGTTTTTAATTTTTTATATTAATATTGTCGGATGCTAAATAAGCTTCTGATTCATCATAGGAATCGTTAACAGAAGATTGTTGTGCGTTCAAGATATCATTATTTTCCTTATCCTCTTCGTGAACAATATAATTTTCAGCACTCTCGACTTCAATATTTATTACATCTGAATTAACTGTAGAAATATCTCCCAAATGTTTTATGCATTTATAATTGATATCCATTACAGCATCTGAATTAACTGTAGGAGTATTTTCCAACTGTTCTGTGCATTTATAATGAATGCTGCTACATGATACTGTTACAGTCGTATTTAATATAGCTTCACAAATAATGTTGGATTCTTGTGTAGCTAGTCTTTTTAAGTGTCGGTTAGAAACGCTTGCAGTATTTTTCCTCGAGCGCTTTTTATTCATTTTAATTTATAATTTATTTCGTTCTGTTAAAATAGTAAAATATTAATATAAAATATATATTAATAATATTAATATTTATGTCAATTTTTAAGTGTTAATATGCTTTTTCGAATATTATTATATATTATATAAAAATTTAGCGAGATAAAGTTAAATAGTTTTAAAAGATTTTGTCATTATTTTTGTACGTTTAAAAGATTATTTAAGGGGATACCGGAGTAATTAATTAATTTTTCTTTAAGACAACTATGTGTTTTCTTTACATCAACTAATTTGTCTCATTATTCTGTGCATAAAAGTAATAAGGTATGATAATCGAAAAATAAATATTTTGCAAGATATTTTGTCAAAATATCTTGTGAACTATTCAATTCTTATCCATCTTATACTTTCATAATTATCCGTGATTGGGTGGCAGAATATGTGCCGATTTGGGTATTGCAGCGCCAATGTAGAACAGATATAACGCAAATAATAAATGTATAAACTAATGTATAAAATAAACCATTATTAATATCAACGATCACTAAATTCAAAAACAAATTTAATTTCTTTAATTCGAATAATATCATTAATTTGAATCATCTGTTCTGCATTCATAATGTCCAGGTCGACACATATTCTGTCAGCCAATCATGTAAGATAATGGCAGATTGGCGCTTCTCTTTCCTAGAAGTTCTCTAGTTACTACACAATGTAATCAAGAAAGAGCGATTTCGGTATGTTTATAAATATTTGATCGATGATGTACTCACTTTTTATTTATATGTCTTATTCTCATTAGGATATATGTAAATCTACAATATCTTCCTTATTTCCAACGCTGCAACATAAAAATGACAAAAAATAAATATGTATACATGTCTTCGATAAATAATTAGTGACAAAACTGTATACTCTGTGTCTGCTCTCTCTTGATCGCATTGTGTAGTGACTTATTAACACAGCTTTCGATACATTACAGTGTCAACACAAATATAGAGCAGGTATATTTGTATTGCGTAACACAAATATAAGTTCTCCATATATGCTTTGATACTGTAGTATATCAAAAACTGTGCTAATCAGTCACTACACAATGCAATCAAAAAAGAGCGAATACAATATGTTTATAAAGATTTGATTGATAAGAGTTGTAAAGCATTAACAAAACTAAATGATATAAATTTTATAAAGAAAAAGGATCGACTTACTTACTTTAAATTAAAATCGTTGGTTTGATTTTGTCGCACATTAACACACAACTCGGGAAACGAAAATGGCCGATGGCCAAGCCCGCCAAGCCACTATCGACCAGTATTGACAAAAGACGGTAAGATCGGAAGTTACATGTATCTAAGATAGCGTTGCTATACATTCTGTACGTAACTCAAAAGTATGTTCTAAGAATATACGGAAATATACAGGAAATCATAATACTGTTAGAAATGTTAACGTATGTTCTGAGAATATTCGACAATATACGAAAAATGATATAACTAAATAATATACTGCTAAAGATATAATATCTTAAAGATAAGTATATTCTAACAATATACAAAAAATAATATACCACATGAGACATTATAGAGATGTTCTCAGTATATTATATACTGTACGTATATTCACAGTATACATATAGAATATTCGAATGATATCATGTGCTGTGTGGGTTATAATATCTTATAAAATTAGGGTGGAAGTGACTGTTGCTTCATCAATATTTGTTTTACGTGGTCA